GCCACATTTATTTCGAAATATATACATCTCCTTATTATGTCACCCTTATTTCCAAATATACATATCTCCTGATTATGCCACCCTTATCCCAATATACATCTCTCCTAATTATGCCAACCTATTCCAATCAGCTGGTAATAACATATAAAAATTCAAAATCATTCTAACACATAGCAATAATCATTTCTGAAAACACCCCATTCGAAACCATAAGGTTCCATAACAAAACATATCAAAAGATCCTTTTAAAGTAAAAAACTCACCTTGTATCATAAAGATATGAAGGCTTTGAAGTGCAACAATTAGTGAGATAAAATTATGTATTGAGATTCTTCCCTTTTTCTCTTATGTTTGCTTAGAACCAGTGCACCCGAAAACACACACCAACTTTTGTTTCTTGTTATCAAACCCAATAAAAGAAACACAATAATTTACATATACATATATATTTTAAGAAAGTGAGGCGGTGAAACATATGATATTTTAAACCCAATTTCTAAAATACACCCCTCAACGTTCATCATTTAACAATAATACCCATAATCTTTCCAACCAATTTTAATAACAACCCCAAATTGTCAAACCAATGACTCGATTATAACATGAATAACGCACCGTATTTAAAAGTATTGTTCTTTTCAAATCTAAGTATGAGGTTTTTGGGCTATATGAATAGGTTAATGATCATATTCAAGCATTTACCATTCAAATTATATATAAGATTCTAGGTTGTATGTACTTGTGAATCATTCGTGTACGAGTCTTCTTCGCATAAAATTGGGTCTTGATTGGCTCTTTGAAACACCATTGCCATCTATTAGGTTAAAAAATAATAAATATAAAAGCTTTAGTTGTAAACATTGAATGAACTAACAAGAAGTTATTTTCCACCATTTTGGATTCTTCTACTTCGTCTTCAAGATCTATAAGCTATCTTTTCTTAGTTTGAAATTTTGATAAACAAAGATTGATGAAGAAGAAGAAACTTGGGAGATTACGTTTCGATGATGATGGAGATTTCATGGAGGTTATAGAGAGAAAGATAAGAAGGATTATCACGTAACTGAGAGAGAGAGAGAGAGAGAGAGAGAAAGAGAGAACGAATCTGCTATAATTTTTGATCCATTCGTGGGATTCGAGCATTCCGATGGGGATCACCATTGTCACCGTTACAACCGCCCCTACCCAAACTAACCTACCACTAACCACCATACCACTACTGTCGTGAGGGGTGGAGTGGGACGAGGACGAGGGGCCACTACCCACCCATGTTGGTGCGAAAGGGGGTAAGGTAGGGACGAGGCATAGTGAGGGAGGAGTGGAGGCATGATGGGGGGGTCGAGAAGGATAAGGCAGGCGATGGCTACTATGTTTGGGTAAGGTAGGGCGATGGGGGTGAGGTGGGATGGTAACTATGATGACGAAAATAATGGCATGGTGGTCGGTATGGGTGGTGTGTTTGGTGTGGTTGGTTCAAATCACTAATGAAACATTTGTAATTTTTCCAATGATTAATACAATGAAATCTTCAGTATCACTGAAAAAGATCCCTAAAAAGAGTAACAGGGACAAGTATCTATGAGTTCCATTTCTCTTTCATTCACTGACAACTTTCAACTAGTGAATATGAATTTAGTTTCAGTTATCATATTTATGTTTGTTTTTTTTTGAACTTGTAATCCTTTACAAACTTAAGTAAATTTACATGAGTAAACTGTATCACTGAAAAAGATCCCAAAATAGTTAAAAGAGACATGTATTTTATTTGTACATTTTCCTTACTATTATAACTTAAGCAAATTTCGTTATGTTTCTTTGTCATCATCAAATAGGGGGAGATTGTTGATCCTCTTTCTCATTGAATTAATGATGATCCCTTTTATCTACCAAAGTATAGTATTTATGTTATTTAGTTTCAACGATTTTCAATGAGTTTGTTCAGTAATCACTGAACATGTATTGTAATTCGTTCAGAGACTGTTATACTTCAAGAAGACAAAACTCACACTACAAATCCTTCAGCAATATTGAAGACAAAAGCTGAAGATTAGAGATCAGCAAGTTCGTGATCTGAAGCGGTATTCAATGATTACAAGATCGTCTACATATGTGTGAAGTCTGCGCAAGTTTCAATGAAAACTCAAGAGCAACGTCATCCCAATACTCAACGATCAAATGAAACTTATCAAGCACGATTGTTTTTGTCTTGTCCTCCCTCACACAAAGGAAAAGCTCATATCTTTCTAAAGTATAGTACAGTACGGAGCCACTCCGTTGACTCTAATGTGCTTACCTACTTTATGAAAGAGGATTGTTCATATAAGACCCAAAGCCTGCCAAATCTGAACAAAGGACAAAATTTCCTCCAAAAGCTTGACACGTGCTTTGTACATTCTGAATTGAATTTAATGCAATGAGTATAAATAGCTGAGTGGTTCCCCTCTTAGTTATAAATCTTTCTTACTAAGAACTTACCCAATAAGTTACTTCTCTCACTACTCTCTATCTAAGATAAAGAACCACTTTAACAAGTGAAGAACACTTCTATTATTTCTTTATTTCTTGTAGCAAATGTTTTCTCTTTGTTATTTGTGATTGTGTGTATCTTAGATTGTTTAGATATGTTATTTACCTTATCTCTTTCACAAACAATCTGTAAAATTTGTATTGATCATCTTTGTCAATATATAATTTTTAAAAGTGAAAGTTTCTTTGTTTATATTCATCTCCCCTTCTACAAACTGATTACCTATAAACTCTTGTAGATTCGGTCGGGACCAACACATGACTTGAGAGACCTACGCTGTGACCTTAAGTCGCGGTCTAGGTCGTACGAAGGGGTCAGGTGGACATAGGGGCTAAAATCGGGGGTTTCACTCATTTTTCACCTACACCTTTTCTTCTCCAAATTTCTTCATTATCTCTTTATTAAATACGTTCAATGGAGCATACAAGCAGTTTCTCATGGATTTTAAAGAGGTTTACCATCATCAAGTCTATGATATATTTAAGTTCCAAGTTCTCATCTCCATCTCTTGATTTTCTAGGTTTTTTGGGTAAAACCTAGAATTGTGAGTTCTCCTACCCTTATATAAACTTTTATACATGTCAAAAAGTTACATGTTAATCTTCTAAACATTTTTTTATATATATTTCATGTATTTTGAGTATTTTTGGAGATTTGGGGGTTTTCCTTCTTTGACAAATTAAATGTTTGGCTTTCTTTGAAGGGTTGTAAATATGGATTTCCATACTTTTGAAAAGTGTTTTGACGTTGGAACCTCAAAATTTAAGTTTATATTGGTGTATGCCATTGATGGAGCTTTTAGAAAAATGATTGGATTGTTGGAAAAAAAAAAGCATAAGCACTTGGAAAATATGGCATATCTAATTTTGTGAGTTCTTGGAGATATTGAAATTATCATCACACGTTTAGGGAAAGGAGGTTGAATTCATTTTACTTTTTGGTCAAATTTGGATTTAAAGATTTTGCTGACATTATTATACGTAATGAAAACTAAGTGTTGACTATAGTTGATCATTTAAAGGTCGAGTTATATATGAATTGTATTAGATTGGATCCATAGGCATAAGAGTCGGTTTTATTGGTGTAAACAGGATGAATATTCCCATGATTTAGTTTGAAATAGGCAATGGGTCTTTCTAGGCAATATGATATGGACTTTTGGAGTCAGGCATTGGCCATTGACCAACATGATGTAATTTCTAGTGAAGGAGCTCAACTATTTTCTTTGGAGATCTCAAGCTATAGATYRTGRGTGGTTGAACTTGATRACTCATTAAGCTATAGATCGTGGGTGGTTGAACTTGATAACTCATTAAGCTATAGATCATGGGTGGTTGAACTTGATAACTCATTAAGCTATAGATCGTGGGTGGTTGAGCTTAATGGCCATTGACCCATGGTGATGCTTATAGAACATAGATATGTGGCATACTTTTGTATTATGTTACTATCAATGGTAAATAGGGTTTCCTATGTCCTCGCAAGATGAATTCCAACTCTCTAATCCTTAAACTCTTGCATTTGAAATGGTTAATTGGTTTTAAAGATACATGCATATATTTAGATTTTTTAATTCTTTGGGTGATCGTAGTGACACCCGATTAGTAGTAGTTAGCTATCATCCATTCTTTGTGATGTAAACGCTTTTATTGTCCCCTTTGTGGGTAAATTATATATTTATGCATTTGTCCATTTATATTTTTTATGGTTTAATTTACTTCTATTTAGAGGTGTTATAAAATACTCCTCATTTAACAGATTTTTTTGTAACGTCTGTTAGAGGGAGAGACCAAATCCAGACGCGTTTTTGCAAATGACAAGGACCATCTTCTAATTTCAAAACTTTAACAAAAATTGTTCTAACTGACAAACCACATAGACCAAATCCAATTCGTAGTTTACTCTTAATCTATTTTATGGCGTGAACCGACGATTATGAGTTAGGTTTCACAAGAACATGGTTCGTTTTGCCAACTAAAATTCCACAAGCCAATATGATGACAAAGACAATAATGGAAGGAAGGATTCAAAACATATATTTATTTTAAATAATATACAATTATTGTTTTAATAAAATCGTTTTTAAGAGGTATTTTTGTTCTTCATGATCAGTTAAACATGTTCATTATTTAGGTATCAAGGCAAATGTTGTATTTTTATTAATCAATGAGTATTTTGTTGAGTGCTTTTTATAACACAATCAAGGATGTCTTATTAGCAAATCAAGCCAGGGTTTAGCACACTTTATGTTAAAAACCTAAGTTTGATATCTGTGTGAGGCGTTTTTTGTGAAAGGTTCGCGCCTGTTCTTCAGAAGGAGGAAATGTCGTAAATTTTGTGCCAAGTTTATTTAAAGTTTATAAAGTTATTGCTTATTGTTTCTTCTCATGACAATATATTTCATCAAGTAATAGCGATGGTGCCTTTAACATCATCGTATATTTGTATGTAACTTGAGATGATGGAACGAAAGCTAACAATAATGTGGCAATATATGCTCATTATCTATCTTTCGAAACTCACTTTTGTCGAAAAACCAGTCACCAACTCCCTCTGCAATGGTCTGTAAGAACATCTCGTTATAAGATAAAAAATGACAAATATTAGTTTCTTCAGATATATAGCCAAAAATCTCAACGTCCCCATATCTCATATCCTCTACATGTCCCATAAATCATGTAAAAAAAATCATTATTATATTTAATTCATCTTTTTATTCTTTCTACTTGATAAAATGATGGCGTGTCTTCACGAGATTGGTGGATAAGAAAAGGACAATAGATGGAACACGAGATATTTATTCAAAGTGAAGGGCACAAAAAATTAAACATTTGGTTAAATAATAATTTCTTCCAAAATTTCCCTGATTTTGAACAGGTGATTCTTAACCGAAACACTTTACCTTGTTGTCCAATTTTGAAGCATCATTTCCAGACCATGCTTGTTGAGATTCAGATTGGCAGTGAGCGAAGCAAGTGTTAATAAACATTCCATTGGATGAACTTTTGCCAACGACTGAAATTGAATCCAAAAATTCTGCCCTAAAATCTGGAGCATAAAGGACGCTTGTTAAATTTTAGACATACATTTTTTAAAATGTGCTAAACGAATTTGTTAAAACGTCAAAAGGACCGTTCAATGATCCTATTGCAACACTTTTAGATTGGACGTTTTATTGTTTGGTCTTATAAACGTAAGTCCTTAGAAGACTTCGACATTTTAAGCATCCAATAAACCCAATCTTGTTACAGTGAAAGGAATTGTAGGGATAACCTTGGAGCCTTTGGAGTTGAACAGTGGAGCATTGGTTCAAATCCGTCTTACACTTGGTGAATTCGCCATGAGGATCAGATTCATTGGGGGCAAAAATGTAGGATATCTTAATCAAAATTATCAAAACTTAGAGAAAACCGATAAGAAACAATGTATTATGAATTAAAGTCTTGAAAGTTGACCTGCCATGTATCATAAGCCGAGTTTAGTACGAAGATAGGTGTCTTGATATAAGGCACAACGAATTGTGGGTAGAAGCACTGCAATGCCAATCAAATTCCAAAGAATTAGCATCATTATGAATCAAAACTATGATAAGGAAAGTGATAACACCAAAAAAAACCCATACCAAATGGGCTCAATATATCTTATTCAGAAAAACGGACTAAACCATATAAAAGAATAAGGGGGCTTACTAAACCAGGTGCCATATTTGAAGTACATTCGGACGGTAAATATTTTGCTGATCCCTGTAAAAATAACAAGTTAACACTTTGTATATGATATAAAGTAAACTATAAACAAAACAAACCCAATATATCTTCACTGGGAGGAGTTGGGGTCTGTGAAGGTAAGATGTATATAAAACGGAACTCTACCTCAAAGAGTATAAGAGGGGGGGGGGAGAGAGAGAGAGAGATAGTACATGTAATGTGACGAGTTGGTCGTAAAATGTTTCAAAACTGTACTGTCCAGATAGGTCTTTCCTGTGGAAATGTAATTTGGATTATATATATTAGGTTATTGTTCACTGAATATTGTTACTGGCATTTGCATTAGAATATAATGAGCAATCTTGTTCATGTAATACAACAAAGCAATCAAATTTATCGTGAATGACTAATTTAATTACCTTCATACACTATACGTCGTGTTATGCATGTGAGGGAGAGTCTTGAATCATGACATTTACTTCAAATTTGATTTGTCGGTTTGAATTAAAAACAATTCTATTTATAAATGTTTGTATTGAGGAAGAAAAAGATGATTGACTTACATGTGAGGAAAATAACCGGCATCAGCAATGCATTTTACTCTAGTACTTGTAGGGAAAAGTCCTCGGAACTTGTCACAATGTAGTATTGAAGCCAACCCACCAGCAGAACACCCCGATAGAAAGACCTATTAATTTCAATATATATATATATATATATATATATTCAGTTTTATTGATAAGATAATCAGTATTTAAATAATTTTTTCAGATTAAAAAGAGAAAAGGTTGGTACATTTTGTGCATCCTTCATTCCTATGTTCATGAGCTCCTCAACTATAACATTGAAGATCCTTGCACCTCTAAAGTAAAGGCTAGTGGCCTACATAAGAAGGGCAACAAATCAATTTAATTACATCATTTCATAAAATCACTATAATAAAATTATGTATATATTACATCATCAATATATAAACGTCTTAATAGACTTGTTTTTTAAGACCCAATTTATAGGACACAAAAAAAAATCATGCATCTGCTTCAGTTAATTAGGTTAAAATGTGGATATAAGTGAAAAATGAGGAAAGTGCTTTGTACGCCATGGTTTTATCTTAAGGTGTTATAAAAAGTTTTTTAGGACATTTTTGAAAAGGTGTTATATAAAACCATCTTTTTATATGACACTTGTTTTTATAACTTATTAAGACGCTTAAAAACGTCCTATAAACTTATTACAATGCCTTTAGATATGATCATTTATTTTTGGAGAAGGCTAATGACACCCCTAAGATGTACCATTGACACCCCTAGGCCTATCCCTATTATTTTGTTTTAGTTTTTTTTTTCTTTTTGTTGTTTTTATCTTTTATTTTTTTTCCTATTTAAATTATTAATTTAATTCCTTTTTTACTTTATTATTTCATTCCTTTTTTGGTTTCTTATTTAAATTATTAATAAATTATATTATGAATTATTATATATTTATTAATTATTTTAAAATATAATTGCTTGA